TGATATATAATTACCTGCTTAATTACCTGGAAAGCACTGTCAAAAAGAATGATGATAAACTTTGTTACTGAATGTTTTGTGTTACAGAAATATCCAAATTTCCTTACAACTGTCTTACAGTAAGCTCTCATCAGATCCTTAACCATTGTCATTTGTAAGTCTTTTGTCATCTATACTCACTGTTCTATTACTCCTAAACTAGTAAAAAACTAGATTTCAGCAGAACAGGTATTAGTTACATAGGATTAAGTAAAGTAAGGAAGATGATTTGGGGACTTTTTGTTGCAAATGTTGCTGATAAAGTATTTTAAGCTTTTTCTCTTAAGCTGACAACAGTTTAGTAAATGACTGTCTTTGTAAGCAGAATTGAAACTTTATCTTTCTCTCTACCTGATCCCTCCAGAATTTAAAAACTCTCAGTGACTACTTTTATATTTCATGGCAGTATGTTTATTTGCATAAGTTCAATAAGAACCTACTTTCCTTGTAAGAGGACCAATTAAAAACACAGGTTATTCTACTAAGGCTTTGACTGGAATGTCACACCTGAGAGACACGTGCATAAACTCAGATATGAACAGACAGCTTTAAGGACCTAAGATTGACTTTATAAAGCCAACAAAGCCCCTTGGAAGAACTGGCCTGGTACCTTGCTTACAGAGTTCCCAGCAGCCTTACCAGGTCAGTAAGGAAGGTGACTTCCTGGCAGGTGCAGGAACCTCAGGAATGTCTTGGGAATCTCAAGAAGAGAGGAATTCACCCAAATCTACAGGTACTGCAGGCACAACCTGATGGCGAGTCTGGCTTGGCTTTCTGACCTCAAGGATCCCTTAAAAGTTCAATCTGAAATTCCTTACAAGAAGTTCCAGCAAAGCACATTTAAAAGATCCCATGTAATCAATTACTCTTCTTGCTGCACTTATGCAAATAATCAAACCAACTGTTAATTATTTTCTTAATCTGGCTACTTCTAATAAAAATGAGGGTGATTTTAGAGAAAAGTATTGTTTCAATAATGCAGTCTTATCTATACTAAATCCTAATACTAGTCATTGAGATGTAAATTTGATCCAGAATTCTAGTTTCCCCATGATACCTGGCTACGATTCTCAATTAGACTCTTCATATTTCTAGTTCTCATATTCAGCCATGCATTCTTAATCTCGTCAAGTTTGTCCTTCTAGAATAGAAAATCCAACTCCAGATGTTGTTACTTAACCTAATAAGACAATTTGTTATATCTTGCCTAGAAGCCACAAAATTGCAAATAGTAATAGAAATGAAACCCAAAATAGAAGCGCCAACCTTCCGAGGCCCTCTCAACTGACCAGTGATGGAGACCTAGCTGCACCCTTTACTGGGCCCCCTCTCAGCATGAAGCAGCCAGAGCGGTCATCACCCTTTTTCCCTAGCAGCAGCTAGAGTCTCTATCTGCAGAGGGGAGAATGAGACAGGGACCACAGGCTTAAACAGAATAAGGTGAGAGCCTCTGGAGAAAGCAAGGCAGGATATTTGCAGTCAGAGCAATGTAACTACATGCTAGGAACCCCTCCCCCCACTAAAACTGTTGAACATTAAGCTCTAGAATCATTCTTCAGTGAGATCAGCTAATGTTCCCCAGATAAAGAAGAGTAGCACATGTTGTATTATGCTAATCATTTGTAATCATGTATAAGATTCACTTTAGCATACTAAAAGGCCCAGGCCTATGAGCTGTCTTTCCTCCTTCAGATCTGATGAGGTAATTTTGCAAACTGAGCAACTAATTTAGCATGCAGACCCAGATGTAGATGGCATATTAAATGGCAGGATTCTTTAGCAAATAGACAATACCTCAGCCCACCTTGGGAGCCGGGCAGGCAGCCTTTTGATATGCTCCCAGACCAAGACGCCGCCGTATCCCAGAGAAAAATCAAGGCAGGAAATTCCTTATGTTAAGTTAATTTTTAATATTCAGAGACCACTTAACAAGTCCTTCCTCAAGGCTTTAGAGATAGTCCCCACCTTTTTGGACAGGATCTAGCATAAGACCTTAAGTCCCTTACTCTCTCGAGCTCCACCCCCCTTCAATATGTAGATGATCATCTCCCATGCAGTCCCTCCCTACAAACCTCTCAACAGGATACTATTCTCCTTTTAAACTTTCAGAACACAGGTATCATTTCACCCTCCAAAGTTCGGCTGTCTGCCGCTCAAGTCACATACCTGGGAGTTCAGCTCTGCCCATGCTATAAGGCCATTACCATAGACAGGAAAAACTTCTCCAAACTATGCCCATTCCAACCAACAAAGACATCATCCACAACTCCCAAATGGCAAAGGACCATACACAGTAATCCTTTCCACACCAACTGCAGTTAAACTGGAGTCTTCTCCATTGGACACACAACTCCCACCTTAAGCCATTTGTCTCAGCTTATTCCCCTCCCACCAAATCTCCCACAGGTTCCTACTTCTCCACCCTGATGGGACCTCTTACTCTCCACATTTCATGCTGCTCATCTCCACTTCCACTCATCACTGAAGAAGTTTCAGCCAGCACTGAGTTCTAAGACCTCCCTTACAACCGCCATGTGTCATGCTTCAGCACTTATTCTCCCACCAGACCTCTTTCCAACACCAACCCTTTTCTCTTTCTGCCCACACATATGTCCCCAAAGAATGCTATAATTCAGCCACCCTATGTAAACATAGCAATCAGCCCAAATGCAAAAAATTTCTAACCAAACCTTTAACCAGCTTATATTACAGGATTACCAACCCCTCTCCAAAGACGATGATCCTTTCTGAACTTGGAATACACCATCGCCACTGCAGACCAAGGGCTCATCTGAGGACTGCCCTCATCAATACAAAAATGAACTTGATCACCCCTAATCAGCAGGAAGCAGTTACTGAAGACTGACCTTAACGCCTTCCCAAATCCTCTACCACTTATAAAACAGAAAAGGGAGGAATATAAGAAAATAGATTTATCCTCCATTTGCCTCATGGTCCCAAGCACATAAACTGGTGAGATTTATGCCTGGGGCTTGCCTGGGTTTACTACACCTTATCTCTAAACATCCCGACCCTCCCCCAAGGCAACAGACCGAGCATATCCGCCACAGTAAAAGGCACAACTCTCTGCTCCACACTGCTGCCCTCTCTCTCCTTGTCTCTGTCTCTCTGTCCCCCTGCTCTCCCTGCTCACTGGCTCTCTCTCGCTCTCTCTCTCTCTCCTCCCCCTCCCTCTGGGGCAGCCACTTTCTCTTTCAGATAATAAAATCTCTTGCATGGGAAAAAAAATGTATATATATCTATCTATCTATCTATCTATCTATCTATCTATCTATCTATCTATATATATATATATATATACTGTCTC